AAAGCTCCAACAACCCCGCTAGACTAATGCAGGAGCGTACAGGGTCTTGTGGCCCCGTGTTTGCCAGGAACGCAGCATCCGATTCCTGCGATTGGGGAAAAAATGAACTGAACGCCTTTAATTTTATTTTCTTTCTAATTTTCACATGTTTCATTTATCCTTCTTTCCTTTCTAATCCTTTATTATTTTCTTATTTTTCAATTATGCATTTTGCTTCTCTGAAACTTCTAAATTTATGTTGACTAGGGTTTGGACTTTTAGTTTTGTTGTTTTTAGTTCCGAAACATTTGTCGGTGCCTCTTTTTCCTTTACACGGGTTGTACATCATCCAAGTGGTGCTCCAGTTGTATCTTGGTCTCTAGGTGGAGCTTATTTTCTTCTACCCTTCCCCCACTCTTGCCTATATTGATTCCCTCCAAACTCGTCATTATCCCCCTTGCTTCCGCCAAAGAAAAACAGCCACATTGCTGGTTTCCCTCAGACCTGTTACTGTTTTCCCCTCAACCAGCTGCCATCCCACCCCAGTACCAGCAGTTTCCCCTACCAGCTTGCTAGCCGTCTCCTACCCATCAACCCGGGTGGTCCAAACCCTTAACCGGTACCACCTTACCCTAGATCAAGCCCATGTTCTAGTGTTGTGTGTTGTTTCATTGCAATTTCAGATTTTCATGTTTCTTTGTTGTATGTTCAGATTTGAATCCATTAATAATATTTGCTTCCCATTCGATGTTTGTTAAATTCCGGTATCAAGTCCTAGCTTAATTCAAGTTCAAGTTGTGATTGACTTGTTGGATGACTCATTGATTTTATCTGGATTTAATTGGATAAAAAACAGTCAGATTTTCTAGCGATCCTTAGCCATTCAGTTGGATTCACAGCCCTAATGCTAAATATGGGTTTGAAGATTTATGCATGCAACTAATGTAATAACTTGGCACAGAAAGAAAGAGAATTACCCTTTCTAGAATTCCTGATTGGACGTCTGGCTGAAACCTGCGCATATTCTTAAGCATTTCCAATTGCTACAACGTATTTAATGGTGAGTCAGTTTTGTTAACAATGTGCTTTCTTAATAAAAAATGGGAATGTAAATACCTGCTCGTGAAGCTTGTGTTGATGGTGCATTTTATCCACAAACTCACCTGGCTTGAGTTCAGCCTCATCAATGGCCATCTCTTCCCTGTCAGTTTCGCTAAACAATGAATTTACTTTCATATGACAATTTGTAGTGTGCTATGCTGCAAAACTAAGGCAAAAAGGATATATGAAGAACTAAAAAACACATTTTTACCAGAACACTAAGAAATAACAAAATCTGAAGTGGGAATCTGTCACAATATTTTCCAGCAAAATTAAGCTTCTTAGAGATTTTGAAGCAAGTTCACTATGGAAAAAGATATATGGTTTGATTCCGCTCTCTTTCTATTTCAAAGTTTTTATATATTTAGATTTAATTACCTGATATTTATGCAGAATAACCACTACTATGACATCAATAGATGTAGCTTGTCCAGCCGTGAGAAAACACTTCTTCCCTTTCTTCTATCATGTCTGAAAATACAAATGATTCTGCTACCTCCACTCAGCCCTCCACCCTGCCGTCTGATTCCACACGACTCTCCTCTAGAACCACCGAAAATCATCCAGCCCAGATCACCACAATCTGGCTCAATGGTGACAATTTTCTATACTGGTCACAATCGGTGAGAATTTACATTAGAGGAAGAGGGAAGATAGGCTACCTAACAGGGGAAGTCCGTGAGCCAGCCACTACAGATCCATCCCACGCAACCTGGGATGCAAAAAATTCCATGATAAAGACCTGGTTGGTGAACTCAATGGAAGAGGAGATAGGCGCAAACTGCATATGTTACTCTACTGCCAAAGAGCTCTGAGAGAATGTGGCCCAAATGTATTCGGATATGGATAACCAATCACAGGTTTATGAACTTTCCCTGAAACTTGGTGATATTAGTCAAGATAATGATTCTGTCACAAAATATTTTAATTTTTTGAAGAGAATATGGCAAGACCTAGACTTATTTAACGATCAAGAGTGGAAGTGTCCTGACGATGCTAGCAGGTATAAGAACATTGTTGATGCAAATAGAATTTTTAAATTTCTTGCTGGTCTTAATGGGGATTTTGACGAGGTAAGGGGTAGAATTATTGGGAGAAGTCCCCTACCTTCAATCCATGAGGCTTTCTCGGAAGTACACCATGAAGAAACTCAAAGAGCAGTAATGCTCAACAAGAAATCCACTCCTACCAGCA